GGGAGGCTCTGCAGAGAGACCTGGACAGGCTGGAGCCATGGGCTGAGCCCAACTGGGGGAGTTTCACTAAGGGCAAATGCCGGGGGCTGCCCTTGGGCCACAACAACCCCCAGCAGCGCTACAGGCTTGGGGAGGAGTGGCTGGAGAGCTGCCAGTCAGAGAGGGACCTGGGGGGGTGATTGACAGCCGGCTGAACAGGAGCCAGCAGTGTGTCCAGGGGGCCAAGAAGGCCAATGGCATCCTGGCTTGTGTCAGCAATAGCGTGGCCAGCAGGGACAGGGAAGGGATCTCACCCCTGTACTGGGCACTGGTGAGGCCGCCCCTCGATGACTGGGTTCAGTTTTGGGCCCCTCACTCCAAAAAGGACATTGAATGACTCGAGCGTGTCCAGAGAAGGGCAACGGAGCTGGTGCAGGGTCTGGAGCACAGGTCGTACGGGGAGCGGCTGAGGGAACTGGGGGTGTTTAGTCTGGAGAAGAGGAGGCTGAGGGGAGACCTCATCGCCCTCTACAGCTCCCTGAAAGGAGGGTGCAGAGAGCTGGGGATGAGCCTCTTTAACCAAGTAATAAGTGGCAGAACAAGAGGTAATGGCCTCAAGTTGTGCCAGGAAAGGTTTAGACTGGATATTAAGAAGCATTTCATTACAGAACAGGCTGTCAGGCGTTGGAATGTGCTGTCCAGGGCAGTGGTAGAGTCCCCATCCCTGGAGGGGTTTAGTAGTCAGTCTGACACAGCACTGAGGGATCTGGTGTAGTTGGGAACAGTCAGTGAGAGGTTAATAGTTTCAACCTTGATGACTCATTCTGTGTGTCAGGTCCCCACGGGGCAGGGTGCCTACCTTGCCCATGGTCAGGGACAGAGCAGTCATGTCAAAAACCTCCTTGACAAGTGTCTGTTAGGACCTGGACTGGGACCTCAGGGAATCGTAAAGGTTCTCTGATCCCCTTGGGTTAAATTAAGGTGAAGCGACACCAGATGACCAGCTAAAATGTTTAAGTTGCAGTAGAAACAGCTTAAACTTGGAAAAGGATAGTAAGCAATGCAATCTCTTGTAAATCAACAAGAAAGAAAAGAAGAAAGGAAAAAAAAGAAAAGAAAAAGGAAGGGTAGAAAGAGAGTCTGGATCACCACTCCAGGTTCCAGCATTGTCTCGGATCTGGTAATCTTGGGTGGTGGGTGCACACACAGCAAATTTTTCTGTTGCCCTTTAAGTTCATCTTATCAGCTGATGAGCATACTAGACCAAGAGAGGCAGGTATTCCATGAAATCATTTCCACGAGAGATGAGGAAAAGGTGGAGCATGGGTTCTGCGCATGCATTGAGAGGGAATGGGGTGCCCCAACCTCCATGTCCAGTTGAGTTGGTGGTCATGCTTTTGTCTCCGTGTCTCACTCCCCCCCTTATATTTTTCCTCAGTTTTTGCTTAGGTCCCTCTGGTGTTGGGTATTTATCTCTCTTATCAGTCTTTTAACCCGAACATCTGGTTTCACTCAGCCCACGTTTCCCCCCTTTGAGGCTTATCTAAGGAGTTTGGCAGTACAACATCAAGGGAGTGGGGACGTGCATCCTTCAATACACTGCGCTTCCTTGGGTTGCATTCCTTCGACTAATCACAAAGGCTTTTCTTTGAGGTTTTCTATGTCGATGAATGTTTGAGGCATTATTCCCTTCAGTTCCTTAGAGTGACTCCCAATGTGGCAATGCTACATGTTCAAAAGAGATTATGGCATAAGCAAAACCAAGGAAACTCCTCTCATGTGTTGCCTATGAATAAAATATTAGGCGTTCATGTTCATTTGTACATATAAATGTATATTTCACTTTACTTGAACATGGTTCTTTCTCAAAAGAAGATACCACTGAAAGCAACAGGTTATGAATCATAATCCTGAGGTCTACTTTAATATGTTTCAAAGGTAGAATCTGGAAAATCAAGATTTTCTCAAACATCATGAAGTTCAACAAGGCCAAGTGTGAGGTCCTGCACATGTGTCAGGGCAATCCCAAGCATAGATACAGGCTGGGCAAGGAGTGGGTTGAGAGAAGCCCTGAGGAGAAGCACTTGAGGGTACTAGTGGATGGAAGACTGGCTATGAGTCAGCAACGTGCTCTCACAGCCCAGAAAGCCAACCGTGTCCTGGGCTGCACCAAGAGAAGTGTGGCCAGCTGGGTGAGGGAGGGGATTCTTCCCCTCTACTCTGCTCTTGTGAGACCCCCCCTGCAGTGCTGTGTCCAGCTCTGGGGCACCCAGCACATAGACCTGCTCAAGCAGGTCCAGAAGAGGCCATGAAGATGCTCAGGGGCTGGAGCACCTCCCCTGTGAGGACAGGCTGAGAGAGTTGGGGTGTTCAGCCTGGAGAAGAGAAGGCTCTGAGGAGACCTTATAGCGGCCTCCCAGTGCTGAAAGGGGCTACAGGAAAGGTGGGGAGGGACTCTGCATCAGAGAGTGAAGGGTCAGGATGAGGGGTAACAGTTTTAGACTGACAGAGGGTAGATTTAGATTAGATATATGGAAGAAATTCTTCCCTGAGAGGGTGGTGAGGCCCTGGCACAGGTTGCCCAGAGCAGCTGTGGCTGCCCCCTCCCTGGCAGTGTTCCAGGCCAGGTTGGACGGGGCTGTGAGCAACCTGGGCTAGTGGAAGGTGTCCCTGCCCGTGGCAGGGGGGTTGGAGCTAGATGATCTTTAAGGTCCCTGCCAACCCAAACCTTTCTATCATTCTATGAAAATGCAAATAAATCTATCAGCTTTGAAATTGTAGATGTATTGGAGTTGCAGGAAGAAATGTTGCCTCAAATGAACTGGAAAGACATGCAGGGAATAGAAAGGAAAAAGGAGAAAAAGGAGGGCTTACTAGTAAAAATGTGAGGAAAAAAGAATGAATAAAAAGAGTTTAAATTATTTCTCAAAGACATTTTTCTTCCTCATCTGTATGGACAAAGGGCACATATCAAGTTATTGCAGGTCAGATGATATGTGGAAACTCATCAGACCTCTGTAAAATTGCCTCGGCTTGTTGGCTCCCATCATACAAAGTGCGTGAAATTTCATGGCACCCTGCATATTTTCTCCAAAGCAACCAGGGAGCATGCTGGAAAGAAATGACTGGATGAAAGGACTCTAGTTAATTGGAAATGTACAGTCACTGTAATACCTTAGCGTAGTTTCGTTTTCTGACCTCTGTACTATTCTGCCAGCTGATTCCCTATCTTTTCCCTGTGTTGTGGCTCAATTATCTCCCCTTCTACATCCACCCTTTAATTATCTTTGAGAAATGCACAGATCTTTTTTCTTATTCTGGCATTTAGCTGTTCTGCAGATATTGGAGACACAGGAACAAAAAGAGGTGAATGAAGGAGAAGGGCACAAAACCTTCTTGTGGGGTTGATGAAAATCAGATCAGCTCACACTGCAGTCTGGACTTTTTATGGGAAAAAACTAATTCCATGCACTGTAGAGCTATACAAAAACAAGACAGAAAGACAGCTGGGTAGTGTTTGGTTTTGGTGGCCAAACCTAGTACACACACCAAGAAGAGCGTGCACTCTCAGATCAAATCTCTGATTATAATCAGAGCAGTTTTTATACAGTCTCCAAAATTCCAGTCTTTTTTCTCTTCCACTAAGTAACAAGCCTAAAAGATGAATCACTTTGTAATGTTTTCTTAGTCAACTGAAATAGAGGTACTGTTGAGATGCTGTAACTATAATAAGGTCTTTTTCTGTCTCAGCAATGATAGAAGAGATCCCTCAATGGATCACTTATTAAATCACTGTTACTGCAAAGTGAATAAGCAAAAAGTTTCTTTAGTATAATGTAAGTAGGGGGTAGGAGAGCACGGGGGAGTACCTGTAGGTCCTGTCCTACTACAGCAGTTCTGGAAAAAAAATGCACAGTCCTGGGGAGCAACTGGGCACCCTCAGTGAGGAGACGCTGTTAATGTGCAGGAGAGCTCAGCAAGCAGGAGACTTAGAATGAGCAGCAGCCACACAGCCAGAGTTCTGCGGGGACAGAAAGAACGATTATTCCTGCACTTCAGAGTGGATTTTGTAGGTTTTGAATCCAAGCAGAGCAGGGACAAGTTGCTGGGCCAAGAGGAAGCCTGAAGGAGAGATAATGCTATGAAATAACACAGGGATCATAAGTCAATCTGCGTATAAACAAATGCATTTATTCTTTCCTATCTTTTATATCTATTGTCTCATCCAGAATATTCTGTTTTAGAAAGTTCATCATTCTAGTTTATGATCTCATAAAAGAGTTTACAAATCCTTGTTAGCGGTCTTGGTGGGACTGCTTAAGAAACACCATGGGCAAACCCCCTTCCTCCCAACCCCTTCAAGGCTCCAATCCCAGTCCCATCACAACTGAAAACACCACCAGGTTTTGAGCTGCAGTCACAGCTGGGCAGAGGACACTCATCGCCACAGCTCTGTCCACATCATCTTTATTTGGGATTGAGGCTGAGGAAAAACTCTCCTTAAAGAGCCATTGCAACCAATAATGCAGATTTGTATAAACATCGGAGTTATCTGTATGTTGCACTCCTGCTGCTGAAGAATGAGTTTCATTCTCCTTCACAAGAAAGCTCAGGAAGATGTTCTAGCTTAATGGGAATCGTGGTCAGATACCTCAGAATCATGCCAGGGAATACCACGTTTCTTTATAAAAGGATTTTAACTTGGTATATAGGATAGTACTGCCCAGCTGTCAGACATTAGTGACAGACAGTGGCTGTTGCAAATGTATTACCTATCCAGCACTTAACACCTTTTTTTGCTTTAATCTGAAACCATAAATCCAGAATGTCCTCACTGAGTCACTGAGCTGTTGGAGAAGCCAGTTGCACATAACTTAGTTCTGTCTCCACTCTGAAGCACATCACCCAATCTAGCAATTATACAAGTTTTAATACTAGCCGTCCGTGGGAAATCATCATGACTAAGAAAGGAAGATTAGATATTTTTGTATCTTCACCATACGGTTTAGACAAGAAAAGGTGCAGATGCCTGTGCACTCACCTACATTCCTGGCCAGGCAGACACAAGCCAGTGCCAGTGCAGAAGCAGGGTAACTGTGGCATTAGCGGGGTGTTCAGCCCCCTGGCAGGTCCTGCCTCTCCCATACCTTGTGTACCTAAAGCAACCAACTGCTATGGGAGGCCACACACCCTGCTGTGCTGAGGCAGTTGCTATGCTACAAGTGGAAAGGCCTGGGAACTGTGCAAACCATGGGCTCTCCACTTGTCTGCAATGACAAATTCCAACTGGTCCAAGTATTTAACCTACTGCTCTGCTCCTGTGCAGCACAGCTCATAGCTACAGACTTGACTCCTAGTGCCTGGAGTACAGATGAGAGTAAGATCAATAAAAATGATGAAAAAAGAAAAAAAAAAACAACCAACGAAAGATATCAAACTGTAACTGAAACTAGCAGGTAATGACACACCAAATTAATTCTGTGTGGAGAACTGGTGTTACTAGTTTTCAGCAGTCTGTGGAGTTTACAAGTTTCCTGTCAAACTGCACTTGTCTGATGTGTATAGTTACTGCATTGTAAGTCTGTGGTGCTCATACATTTTATGTGACAAGACTCTACATAAATATTATCTGGTGTACATTTCAGTTCCATGAGCATTTTTCAAATCAGACTTAATAGATCCTAGATTAAAAGAGTCATGAAAGGACTTAAGTTTCAGAAAAGGATTTGGAGAGAATTTCTATGACTTTTACTCACCCCCTCACTCAGATATTTAGAATGCATAAATGCTTTCATTTTCAGCAGTAAAGTTTAGCCTCCTCGTGGAGTTAGTCCAAAGATCACATCAGGCACAGAAAACATGGGTTTTCTGAAATCACACATGTGATTCATAGTGCCCAGGCAAAGGCAGCTTAGGCCAACAGATCATTTATTATTCTGTCATTACTGTCCTTGCTCCTTGGTGTAGTGTCTGAGCCCCTTACATCTATTTCAGCTACTTACTTCTACACCATCTCTCACAAACAACAGTGCAACAATCTGAGCAGTTCTGAGCATAAAGACAAAACACGTGATACATTAAAAAAAGATTTACAGCATCAAAGAAGATAGGGAAGTGTTTCAAAAATATCCTGCTATCTTTTGTTTTATGGGCAGCGAGGTGCTCCTAAAAACCTTAAGAGGAAACCAACTACCTCTTTGATTCTTGTTGTTTTGTTTTCTTTCCTTTCCCTTATAAAAACCTCATTATAAAAGATTTACCCAAGAGCAGAGAGGTGCCTTGGAGAAGGAGAGGAAAACCCAATCAAAAAACCCCTTAAAGGCAACTGGAGAGTTTGCATGGTGTTACCTCTAAAGCAAATGTATTTATTTCTATGGAAGGAATTTGTTCTGTTTGTTGCAAAAATTTAATACATATTTCTGGAAATTATAAACTTGCTAGCCATGAGTCTAGTTAAGTCACAAGGATAAAAAACAATGATCCCAGCAAATATATTTCTAAATCTTTGCAAATAACTGTCACATTGCTTCACACTTATACAACATTAACAATCTCTTTATGGTTTTTGGTGGGTTAATTCTGATCTCTCATTCATTTTACAATAGTGTAATTATACGCACTTTGATGGAGTTAAGTCTATCTCGCATAACCTAAAATAAATCTGATAAAAACAAACACGTGTCTATTTCCTTTTTATAGGAATAGACCTATCTTTTAATCTGTGATTGAAACAATTGTGCTTGAGAAGTGATTATTCTTTGACAGGCATTATGCTTTCTTTAGCATAAAAATAGATTAAAAAATAATAATGAGGTAATAAAGTAAATTTGAATCTTGTCTACTTTTTAATCATTATGAGTTATACACCCACACAGTCTCTTCTGTCCTGTTTCAGCTCTGACAATTATATACAATTAAACTACAATTTAAGAGCCTTTATCAAAGTAAAAGGTAAAGTTTATTAACATGATGAATACATAATAAAAATATAAGCAACTTAATAATATGTAATCAAAATAATCAGTACAGTAAATACATTTAAATGGTGTACACTAAAAGCTTTCAATCACAGGTGCATAGTAGTTCACATTTCCATAAAAATCAAACTTGTATTCTTTCAGGGATGACTTCCTCACCCAGAGCCTTTACTGACTGTTTCTTTCTTTTCTTCTTGATTTTTATTACTCTTCTTTCACCTTTTTTTTTATTGAATCCTAAAGGTAAAATGAAGAAAGTAAGATTAGATGCTCTATGACTAACGCATCCAAGATTATCAGAAATAACAGGTGTCTTGTTTTCAAGAAATATTCTTTAAAGAAAAAAAAATAACATTGTCTCACCTAAAGTCTTCATATGCCTGACAAATGCCAAGTTGTCTTATTTCTCATGTGGACTGTATTTTACTGTCCATCTTTCTCTCTCTCTCATTCTGTCTTTCTTCTGATTTCCATTTTCACTTTTCTAAGACTTTCAACTATTATATTTTATCAGGCCAACACTTACTGTCAGAAGTTGCAAGAATGTTTCAGCCTGCCTATTTATCTCATGATAGTCTGTGGTGGTATCATTTCCCATACCTTTCTTGCAGATCCTCAAACATGATCTTCTGGAGGTGAAATTATTCTCATTCCCACCACAACCACTGTAGCTAAATGGGCGACATCTTCCAGTTGAGTAGTTGTAGAAAAATCTTAACTCTTTGGCTCTACAAAGTCCTCTGTCCAGAGGAGTCATGCACAAAGAAGGGATAGGGGGTCGTTCTAGAAATACCAAGAAAAACAAGGTTAAAGACAACAACTGCAGATTACCAGTTTTCAATCACGTTGATATTATATATAAGATTTGAAGCTCACAGAACTTTGAAATTTATATGAAATTTACTGGCAAATTTAATTCTGCCCTTTTGAAAATCTAGGATATTTTACATAAATATCTCGGGTTTTACAATTACAAAAAATACCACAGAAAATATTATTCTCTCTCTGAATTCCAAAAGCCAGCAAAAACTTACCTGAAATCAAGGTTTGTTTCCTATATATTTAGTGATAAAATTGCCATTTCTGTGATAGGAGATAGTGTTCAAATTCAATTGGGGAATTTTCAAGTGAAGTATTTGTAGAAAGTGAATTGAAATAAATTAAACTTGGATGGCTTTAAAAATATGGTAAATATTTATGATAATTAATGAAGTGAATTTTTCTAATTACTGCTAGAAATCAAGTAGAAAGTAAAAATACCCAGCATTTCAAATGTAAGATTCAATACCTTAATACTGGGTTTGCCGTATGAATACAGACAGCTCGACCTAAGTAACAGAAGTCAGTCTATTGGAAAACACTGAGCAATTATCAAGAAATAGCTTGTAACTCACAGAATAACAAAGGATTGAACGTGATGAATAAGTGCACAAAGCGACCGAGGTGCTGGTGCTATAGAGCTGCTGTTAGGTTTTTACCATTCCAAGGAGTAGGCTGATGGTTTGTTTCTTCAGTGTTGCTTGCAAGTGAGAGTATGAGAACTGAAACACTGGAAGATGAACCTGAGGTATCCGAAGTACCTGGGCACTGGAACAAGTTCAATAAATTCCGTACCAGAGTTCCCAAACCTGGAGAATCTCCATCATCTATCACCCTGGAGTGACTCATATACAAAATTAGAGCTGATACAATTGCTGCACAGGATGCAAGAAATTGAATGGGAACCATTATATCATCAGTTATGAGGGACCTAAAGGAGCACCATTTTCCTTCAAAAGCAGCAGAATTGAGATAGCTGAGATCTGAATTCATAAATGGAAACGTGAAGCTAGTCAGATGGCCTTCTTGAAGTTACAAATCCAGGAAGAAGTGTTTCAGAGGAAAAGCCAAGTAAAAATTCTAGAGAATAATTTGGGTTACAACAGAGCTGAAGACATCCTGTTGTCACAAAAGCGGAAAGCAGCTGAGGTGCTAAAAGCAAGAAGTTATGCATTAACTTGGGCAATTCAACAGGCTGGCAAGAAAATATAAAAAACTCCATGCTACATCTTACTTGTCTTACACATATTACACCTGCTGAAAAAGGTTCATCTGCCAAGTATAATAGCTGAACTGGCAGCAAGCAGTGAAGTAGTATGAAAAACTGATGGGAAATGAACGGTGATTTATGGAAAGCTAAGCTAGCAAAATGAAATTAGTAATACATTTGAAGCTGTGTTAGCAACATCATACTATTCAAAAGAATCCTGAAATGCAAAAACTGAGTCATGAATTGGTTTTTCAGGACAGATTATGTTAGATTCAGGTTATAAAATAAGCACTACTTAATTTCTTTTTATAACTGACATTATTTTAAGAGTAAGGTTCACTCTGGATCCAGAGTAAGACCCTACAATGTGATACAATTTATATTAAATCTAGTGCTTTATTTATAACACAGATGGTAGTTAATTAATGCAATACTTTTGGTACTGCTCTGAGAACTCGTGTCTAGAATGAATTTAATCTCTCTCTAGAGCTAGAGAGGATGTTAGCTTTCAAAGCATAAGTTCAGCAACATTAAAAAAAAAAAAAAAGGCTTACTTATTTTAAACTGATAATTTCTCAACCTAAAAAGAACAAAACAGAAAGGCTTGTCAGTGATGAAAGGGCCAAACAACATAAGTTTCTTAACTATATAAGAGAATTTAAATATATACTTTGTAATGTGCATTATTTATCTGGTATGCAGGATTTCCCAGAGACTCCACAGTGTCCTGGTGAAGGAGCTCTCACAACAACGGTAAGCTTTAGGGGAGCCATGGAGCCAGTGATGTGGTTACTGGTGAATAAGGGCTACCTATGTACGTATAATGCAACTGGCAGAGCAACACCTAAATGTACTCTTTCTAGAAACTATGGTGTTCTTTCTCTAGATCATTGCTAGATAAATGCCATAGATACCAAACACTATTCCTGTTCATCTTCAGAATATCTGCATATTCTTTACACTCACAGAAACAACTGGCCCATGAAGAAAACCTCTTAATTTTGCCATATAGCAGCCATTTTTTCAACAAGATTATATTAAAATTAAAATGAAATGTCATCATAATTTCTTGTCTGATGAGGGAGGATAAAAATTATGAACTGATTTTAATATACTGATCAATAAAAAACCTGTTAACTTTAAGTTACTGTGAACATAAAATATGTGCCGTGTCATGCCAGCCCAACATCTCTATTGGCAGGACAATCTATAAGCCTTTGAGCCGGTATGTTAACACAATCACTGGGAGCTTTAGATCCAGGTAAGTTTTCTCTGTTCAGCCCCATCTTCTAACACTGTAATTATGTATATGAAGTTATAGTAAGTTTAGATATTATGCCCGTCCTTCAGTTTCTCTCTCAAATGTTTTGGTTTTACACCCTCCTTTTTCTAAGAGCTGTTGAAATGTTTTATCTCCTACTTTATCTTGTGAAAAGAGGAAAAAAAAAGAACCAAATCCCATAACCCACAAAACTACACAGAGAAAAAGGGATACACACAGAAAACAGTAAAAAAAAAAATAGCAATACATATCCCACTATCAGAATTATTTTCTCCTGATCTAGTCATTGCAGGTCTATGAAATAAAGGTATCAACTTCATTGAAAGACTACTTGAGATAGATCAGCTGTTTTCAACTCTACTTTTTTTCCTCAATTTAGAATACATTTTAGCAATCTTTTTTCACAGTGCAGGTAGCATTGCTCGTTACATTACAAAACTCATACGTGTTAATATCAAGTGGATCATATGAACCTACAATTTAATAAATGTCATTAAATGCTTTCTAACTTTTTTATACATGCAACTGCACGGCCTATCCTACGGCCTTTGATGCAATTTCTACAGAAATCAATTGGTTATTTACATTGACAGAAACAAGCCTTAAGACTCTGGTTTCACACTTGTGTTCATGCTATTCTGTTTATCCAAACTATCCAATTTAAACAGGTTTCAAATATCCAATAGCAAGCTCATAAACTTGGATTTTATATATATATATATATATATATATAATTTGCCAAAAATGTGCAACATAGGTCAGGTCACAAACAGGCATGGGAAAAAAGAATTTACAGTTCATACAGGCAAAGGACAAATGAAAGCTTTCAAGCTGAGTTAGTCAAACATTTCCAGGTGTAAGATTTTCTTCTTCTGGAAAGAATCAATACAATGAAATACAAAGAATATTACTCAGAAACATGCCAATTCCATCAAAAGTTTTTGAAGGAAATTAGACCTTGGAAGCCATCTCAAGTGGAGCCTGGGAACCGGAACTCCTGCCACCAGCTCCACAGGAGCTTCTCAAATGAGTTTCAGGCTTTACAACAGCAAAATACAGTGTAGATCTTTCTGTTATCTTATTTTTCTGTTACTTCTTTTTCCTGATGATGCAGATGTTTGGACTAATTTTGTTTTAGTGAATAAGACCCCAAACTTCAATATTTGATATTTTGTTTCTGAAAAAAATAGGTAAACTAATTATATGAAATAAAAAGTAGATAAAAAAGGCTACTGTTCTTACCTGTAAAAAGAGTATTGTATCTTACCCTTCCCTATTACCTAAACAGTCTTGAAAGGTGTATGGTTTAAGATTGACTTTTTATACCACAGTCTTTTCTGAAATCCCAGGCACCCCCCTCTGTAGGGTGAACAGATGTCATGAACATACTTCAGAATATCTGAATCATGCATATTCAGATATAGACTCATATTTATAAAAATAATCCCAACTCTGCATTGCAACAATAATCACTATCCCTCAGATTTAGCTGGGGTTGTGTGACAATGAACTGTTAATTGATCACAGTAGAAAAGAAGTTTGAAGCGATCTTGGTGAACTGGATGAGAAAAATTATTTTTCACTAGACAAGAGTGTGTGAGATTCATGAAGCTTCATGTTTATTGCTAGATTTTTGATATATGCAGGCTTCAGTATCTCATTTCTGGTTGCAGCAAAGAGAAAATAAAAGAATCTTCAAGTAGACAAGTTATTACAAAAATAATGAGTCATCTGCACTCGACAGCACTCCATAGGTATAAATTGATGCAGAATAGAACTCTGTTACTTTATATCAGGAAAAGATATGTCCCTGACTTTGAGAAGTAATAACAGGAATTGCCTCTGTGTGCCATTCCATATTTGCCGAGTTGAAAATTGGCTTTTGATCCTACATCCCACTTAGATCTCACAAATCAATTGTAGAGTATTGCCCTTGTAATTTCCCACCAAAGATCACTAATCTAAAAATGAAAGGTCTGATTCTTGGCTTCACTTTCTCTTAACTTCCTGAGAATAAAAGTTATTTTAGATCTTGCAGCAGAGTAAGAGCAGAACAGTCTTCACTCTCTGCAGAAAGTTCCTTGCTGAGAGACAGAGCTAGGAGTTTCATGTTTATATGAAGAAAAAAAAACCCCAAACTTTGTTTTGTTTGGCCATAGAGGAGTTTAATTTTCTGAAGATCAAGAACTTTGTGGGAAATCTATTCATCTGTTATCATTACTGAGTTATACATACCACCATATCAAGATGAAATACCATTTCAATTGTGAGGTAAGGCATTCTATAAGAGACAACTCCTTGTAATGTTTTTTTTAATGGTGGTCATGTATTTAGAAAAAAAGGATACATAGCCAGGCCAATATACACGCAAAATAGATGTTACAGTGGTAGACCAGCTTCTTTGCCTGTTCATGAGAAGATGGGCATCAGCCACTCCATCCCAGACAGTCCATCCTGACCTCATATGTGCACAGCCAGATCCTTGTCCCTCCCTGAGGGCCATGGGGAGTTGCAGTGTGTTTGTGTGAGATGGTCCTACTTGCAACTTCAGTTTGCACCTCTACCTCTAGTAATAGCAGGAATGGAGACTATGGTCTCCACATCTCTGTGGAAAATCAGCTGTCAGTTTTGGCCCTACCTTTTCCTCCCCTGCAGGGGGATTGCACAAAGGCACCGGATTTTCACCCATCCCAGCAACCTGAAAGATACAGCCTGATCAACAGAATGGCAGCAGGTGGCTGCACGGGGCAGGTTAGTGCAAGGCAGACGAGGGTTATACAGTAGGGAAGAACCTGGGGAGTCTTCAAACTTTCCACTGAAACACACTGGCCCTTCCAAGGTCATGTTTCTTACCCGACCCATCCAGCTACACTGACTTCACCCACCCTTGCTCCCTGACCTTTTTTCTTCCACCAACCTGCAAGTCTTCTCTTCTTCTTATGCTCACCTCTCTCTCCCAAAATCTGCTCTACAAGAAAATTCACTATTACTCACAACCAAGAACCTTCCTGTTTCCTCTGAGAAAACATAGTGAATGATGCCCTTTTGTTTAGTTTAGTTGTTTTAAGGATTCATGAGTAAAAACCTTCAGAGAATGTGTACACTATTACGTACCAAGAATTATCATCAGGCCTTAAATAATTCAAATATTTTTCAGTAAAATAAGTTGGCAAAAGCTTTACTGTTTTATATTCAGTCATTTTAATAACAGTGTATTGATGTTTTGTATGTGGTAAACAAATAATCCAACTATCACAGAAACTTACCTCAACCCAACAGTACATGTGGATCACAGTGCAGGCAAAAAAAAAATAGAGTACAACACACATTCAAGTTTTATTAGATATACCATTCTAAGCAAAGAGCACAGGAATGTTATTCTACATGTCTATTATCTTACAGATCATATAAACCACAAAAAACTTAATGAATCTGTAAGCCATCACTCAATCCCCAAAGTAAAGGTAAGTGTAAATGCAAAAAACCAACAGAAATACTTGGTAAGAACGCTCAGGCTTTTTCCAACTGTTTCTTGTTTCCTCTTGCAAAACTGTGGATCATAAAAATGACATGCCTCAAATTCAATTACTTTTTACAGTGTGAGCAAGTACCAGCAATATATAGTGGACAGCATCCAGCTGCAGAAACTGTTAAAACCTAGCCCTCTGCAGTAAAGGTCCAGATTCTCATCTGCATTATATACATAGTGCAAAAATATCTTGAAGCAGACACAAAATTAATTCACATTCACTTTGATTAAACTCAAACCAAGAACTGAATTTAATATGGCCTAGTGAAAATAAAAATGTAGTAGAATAAATATACTGTGCCATATTCCAAAATCCAAATATGGTCCTTTTTTTAATGGGTAAAAGGAGCTTTAAATCAGCTGCCAATTAGATCTCCACAAAAATATTAATTTTGCATAAAAGAACTCTGCATCAGTGCTTTTGCTTTTGGTCCTTAAATTTTTGTATTTATCAGACCTTCAGGAAGTGCACACTTTCAGAAGAGGACAAGATGTGGTCAGTCTTTAACTTTCTGATATTTATGGAATATCTGTAAGTAGCAATATATTTCTTTTCTTTGACTTTCTCTGCTTATCAAAATATTTGACATAGGCAGAAGCCCATTCTTTACTCTCAGTTATGTTGGAAAATGGGTGGAAATGGAAAAGCAATCCAGAGTGCATAAAAAAGACTGAGAGCCAAGAACTACAAAAGTGAATTCTTACCAAAAAAAATGGGAAAGTGGTTACGCTCCTCCTTTGTGGAACTACTATTCAGAACGTTGGACTTCTCATCTGAAGAAAAAAAAAAAAAAAAAAAAAAAAAAGGGTGAAATAGCAAGTAATGGGTTATCTAGACATAACAGCTCTGAAAATTAGCTATGATTTCTACTGATTTGCCTTGCTCCATGCCAGTATTAATATCACTAAAAGGTAGCATTGCTTTAAAGTCCCAAAGGCATAGGAAACTGATGTGCTGGGAAACTTTGGGATGGATTCCTTTTTCTTCTTTAATTTTACCTATGGAAGATTTACATCAATCGTGCTTTGGTAAGGTTATTTTTTATATTACTAGAAGACATTCTAACATTTGCATTTGTAAGCCTTTTCCAAAATATGTATTACTGACAAGAAAATGGCTATGAAGCTAGTTTTAATGTTACTGAGTTCGCTGTGCTTATGTACTTCAGCTAAAATACGTATCTTCAAATAAACAGGAAAATGAGTGGACAAGCCAATTGTGAAAAAGGTTAACTATAAAGAGCAGAAGCAAATTCTTACCAAAAATCCCAGGGACCTGGTTGCGTGGTCCTACTGGGGAACTACTGTTCACAGTGTTAGGATGCTCTTCAGCTAAAAAAAAAAAAAAAAAAAAAAAGGCATAAGAAAAACAATAAGGAAAAAACCCACAAAAAATAATTGGTATCAATGATTCAATATCACTAACGTAAAACCTTTTATCTATTTAAACCATGGCAATGGACCCTAATCCTCTCTTTCTTCTTGGGCATTCATACAAATTTACATAGAGGTGTTATTTCAGGGGAAAAAAAAAACAAAAAACCAAAATCATTCTGCAACTTCTTTTCCAGAATGTATACCTTTTTAAAAAATTGTTAGAAAGGAACTATAGTGGGTCTTTCCTAATTTAGATGTGAATAAACTCAAGCTCCCCTTGCCAAAATGACAGATTATGAAACAGTCCTGGAAAAAGACCCATTCGAGACAAGCAAGGTAGAAGGGTCTGGAGGCTCTGAGTGGGAAAATGTATTTGCCCTATGTATACAACAAAGTACTTTGTGAAGGTGAGAGGAGTTACGAAGGATACTATATTCTGATATATCTAGACCAATTCATAGGAACTAGTGGGATGAGGAAGCGGATGAATGATCTATGGCCAGTCCGAATGGCTGTTTTGTAGCGTAAACTGCAGAGCCAAATCATTCAGAAGTGAGGGACATGTTTCCCATGAATCTTTGGTGGGAAGCTAGCAACATACAATAAGGAAACAGTAAAGACCAATTCTTATACTGGCACCTATTTTCCTTACAAGATTTGCTTTGAGAACAATATATTCAGATACACAGGTTAAGATACACATATTAAGCATTTTACGATTTTATAAAGCCAAGCAGCTGGCAGATTAACTGTCATGAGAAAAGTAAAAAAAGGAGTTCTGTAATATTCATTAAAGTTCATAGTACCTACCTTTTTTTTTTTTTTTTTTTTTTTTATTTTCCTCATTTTTGTATTTTCCTTTAAAAATATATATATAATTATTATTAATGTCAGATATAAATTATTGCCACCTTGAGGTACCCTAAATTGCCTTTATTCCATGCAAGAAACCTTCAAAACCTGATGTTGTTTATATGAGAATAAACTAAGAATAACGAGGACAACAACTTACAGTTGCCTTGGCAGGTAGTCTGGCATTCTTCCAAATTCTTAAAGTTGTTCTGGTTTCCTAGGCACCCACCATACTTGAATACTTCACATAACTTTGTCTCTTTGTTATAGAAATACCTGGAAAAATAGCCTCGGCAGATTCCAGGGTCTTTCTCATCAAAGCAGAACTTGGGCTTTTCTATGAACAATGGTAAATGACAAACAGGGCGGGGGAAGAAAGAAAATCAACACGTGTTCCAAGACAACAATAGAAATGGAGGAAGTTTATAAACTAAACCTCTAACTTTGGAATAAAAAACGTTTGTAACTGCTGCTTTATTGCACTGCTTTTGGTCTGCGTATGACTGCAGTATTACGCTGGAGCATTATAGGGACATTTTTATTGGTTTTTTTTCAAGTAGTCAGTAATTTTATCCTGGAAAATGACATCTAACAAATCCTTTAAGTGTCCTCCTACATTGAAGCTCTAGAATGAAAATTAGACTTGAATTTCAGTGGGATCATTTGAATCTAAGTACACATTCTTGTCATTTATGTAGTCATTCTAGTCAATGTTAGTGTGAATTATACAAAAAGAAATGTTAAAATAGAAGGAAAAAGGAAATAGTTTAAAAAAAAAATGAAAAAAAATCTAACAATGCATTTTGTCTGGGACAGTCTACCACTATAAAAAGATACAGGAAACTGAGACAGAGCAGCTATTCTAACTATCATTTTTTCAGTCCTGGATTCTAGTTTGCAGTTAGTAACTACAATACCAACCAAGAAAAAATTAACAAATAAATACTGCATGATTTGACTGAATATTATCAAGATGTGTTATCATGGCTTATAGCAGAGAAGAAAAACACATAGCCATGCAATAATTCCCAAATGTAATATTTTTTTCCCCCTCAAAATTGTATTCTTAAAAGAAAATCACAGAAGCAATAATGAAATATGTGTGGAGATATTCTCAAATTCTTGCTAGTACATACTTTGAAATATGATTCTTGACTGAGCTGGCTTGGAGAGAAAACTTGAAGTGTATTTAGCCATCATATAAGACAATCATATCAGACACAACTTATAAAGGCCTTCCTTACCTGTGAAACTTAATAGAATGTTGAGACTAAAAGAGCATACAGAGGGTTGCCATTTTAATAAAAATGACTATAGAGCAATTCCTCTGAAGTCCCTAACATTTTTGGAGTAGATCATGGTGTTAAAAAGAAGTTGGTCCTATATTTATTTTAGCTAAGTATCTATTAAAAATAATTTCTAGAACAATAATATTATTAAATTCAATGGAGGTACATCATATATTCATATAAAACAGTATAATAGCTCATAATTAGTGTTTTTCCAAGAAACAATTGTCAGTATCTTGTTTCAATTCTTATAAAGCTTCATGAACAGCAAAATGTCATTTTCAGAAATCATATATAAAATTAAATCATTAAAATGTTCTTGCATAAAGTAACAAAATCAACTATTTTAAGCATTCCTGGATAGCGTAATTTTGATACAAATTTCATTCTCTAACAGTAAGTATGTGTATTCTACAGTTCAGATATTTCACATTTCTCACTATTCAAATGCAGCACCTAATGATGTTCACAGATTTAAAAAATTAAGTTCACATACGCCTAGAAATATGAAAGGTATGGGCAAGGCATACGATATGCTTTCAGCTTGAGAATGGAAATGAGACAATTATGTAGACAGGTAGCAAGCAGGAATCTATGAGAGTCATATCTATTCCATATGCCATCTATTAGGAGCTCACAGACAATAGGAGCTACAGAAAAAATTCATCAAACATTGCATAACATTGTAAAATAACAGAAAAATATCATGAGATAGATCTTAACTGAGAAAGGAAGGCAGATAATAATAAAGGTATGCAAAGTAAACTTCAGGATTATGACTGATTCTTAAAAACAGCTGCTCTTCATTTAGAAAATCCTTATATTAAAATGGTTCTGGCAGAAAAAGTCCAAATAATTTGAGTTCACAGCTAAATTTTAGAGCCATTTTTGAAGAGAGAGTTCATGAAGGCAATATAATCCTAACTATACAAACTAATATTATACTTCTAAATGCCATGTCTTTCTCCAGAGACTCAATATTCAAGACTAAATTACTGGAAATAATAGTAAACATGTAATGATGTTGATGATAGCCATGAGCTGAATTTTACTGGCTATGTTCTGTTTAGTCATTAAAAGCAGGGAACTAGGTTCAAACCTTAAAGAAAGTAGTGCTAAATGTCTGCAGCATCTGTGGAAAATCAACTTTGGTAACTTCCACAGCATAAAATCAAGATTACTATTTTTAATGCATTAAGCATGGAAAAGACAGTAGAAAACAGGAAAAGAAAACCATCATCTCAGTATGAAAATATACCAAATACCATTCTGCAAAGATAAATGATTTAATTAGCCTATTTCAAAATGTATGTGCAAACATTGGTATTTCTGTGAGGAGTTAAATACACACCAATTCAAGAGGAAGCAAGTGGAAGGAGGGATGAAGGAGGGTAAGCAGAGAAAGAGATGCTGACTTGTGAAGAAATTTACTCAAGTCTTTATTTGTGGAATCTGGACCCAATCCAGATAAGTCTCAAATGTGGAAAGGGTAAGGGTGGAATCAGAAACTCTGTTGTAAGTGCCAGATATAAATATCCTTGTTAGGAACGTAGGTTATCTCAACAAACCAACAGTGTTTCAGACAAGTGATTCTCAGGCTTAAGCATTGGCTGTTTAGGAAGTCTGGGTATCAGGCATTTAAATTTCTGTAAACATTCTGCCCCTGCAGGAGTGGGAAACTTGTCCCCTCGCTTAATGTGTAATTAGGGGATTTGCCCCAACATCTGTTAGCTCCCACACAGGCAATGTTTGAAAAGTTCTGTTTCGGAGTGACTTTTTTCCTATTTTTGCTAACTGTGGAGGAAGCATTTAGATTATTCTCAAAATACACAATAAGAGTTCCACATTATAGCTAATTATACAATGCCTGAATCTCTGCAGAGTCCTTTTCTCTTTACTGAAGAAAGAAAAAAATGTGTCATGATGTGTTCATTTTGGGAAGAAGAGACTGCAGTTACCATCCTCAGTGGCCACAACTGTCCTTAAAGTCTTTAATGAACATAGAAGAAGATTAGAGTAAGAACCCATTTTAGTCTGACACAGCTGCTTTTGTTAGGAGATATCTTGGAACAATACATAAAAAAGGTTTCAAAAGAAGTTTAAACCTTTATCATAAGAGTCTTAGAATACTATATAAACGTAATTACCTTGCTTAATTTTCACTAACATCATCTTCTGAGGCAATTCTGTAATATAAATAAAAAGGAAAGTATTTAGCAAAAGCAGACACATTAAGTCTCATCCGTGATACCAGGGTGCTTAGCAGTGACTGAGCATTGAGGACGAATACATCGTCTCTTCCCCTTCTTTCTTCTATTCATTAGAGAAGCAGCACAAAAGCTTGTTCTGGAGGACTGAAGTATAATTTCCTTTGTATAAGACCTGCTACATTGGAAACTTGAAGATATGGAAAGTACTGGAATCAAATTATGCCAATATTGAACAGAGAAATTCATCTTCATGTTACTGGAACCAGAATCCTGTATTATGTAATCTTACTCCTCAAAGAAGGAGCAAATGATACTGCTAATAGCTTTGGAGGTGATCTAGCTAGCAATACAGGTCTCTCATGTGATCCAGTTCCCGTTGCTGTGCTATGTAGTGTCGGAGTAAAGTTTTCGTTATGTTGTTTATGATATTCGGCCAAGTATCTCCATCTTTAGGGTAGTATAGACAACAAACCTACTTGCACTGTTCTTTCAGCACATGATCAGCGGTGGTGAAGTTGTTAATGTAATTTTTAACGAGGAGCCTGGCTTTTGTTGTACTTGATCAAGAAGGTCAATATCTGAATTCAACCCCACATTCCTTTTCAGAGATTGAGAACAAACCTTCTTCCACTTCTAGGAGACTGCCTAATCATAAAACTCCAAAGGAGTCCAAGGGGAGACTGTCTCAGCCAATGTGTAATAAAGGCTGAACATTTTTCAGCATCTGAGAGAAAAGTGGCCAAGGATAGTTTATACATTTTCTACTACAGAAATATTTTGCAAGGCATCTGAAATAGCAGCTTCTGAACTTCACCTAAGTCATCTTAATTGCACTGCTTCATAGTTCTTGTTTTGTACTCGTGCTTTTCTGAATGGCATTATAAAATGCTAGTTTCTCCAACACTCTCTGCCTGCTGACCTCTTGCATATGAGAGAAGGTACAGCTAGTGCTTTGCTTAAGGTCTGCTGGAAAGGAAACATCACTACAGCTTCTCTGTAACTTGATGCATGAGATACAGTTGCTCTGCCAGGCTGGCGAGGGTTGGGGGATACAGGAGCACTGCACCCTATCTCAGCCTGGAGGTACCAACTAGCAAGACCTCAGACTGAAAACAGTTCCTGCTCGAAAGTAAAGTTGCTGCTGTGCCCTTCCTTGTTATGGAAGCAGTAAGAGAAGATACTTGAGCCATCTGTACCCTCACCTTTCCTATAATTTGTAATTTTAATAAGGTTCCCCACCACCACTATTTATAACAATCTCTTCACAGTCCAAAACTGACAGGAGTTTCAGCAGTTTATTCTCTACTCATATTCCAAGGCAAGTGCTTCTAACCATCCTTTATATAGTGATACACCTTCCATGTCTCCTATTTTAAGAGGTGCTGATGATGACTAATAAGCTTTTAGCATTAGCTGTATTGCCCTTGTGTACCACAGTTTTTTTCTTTTTCTTCTGGAACCATGCCAGTGTTATATTTTCAGAGCAAATCCATTGGGTAGAAATTCTGTCATGACATATTTTCCTTCCATCTCTGGGACAATGCAGCTGGCATCCTTAAAAAAATATTATTTAAAGACATGATATGCACTTTAGAGTGACATACTTGTTTGAATATATCTCCAGGGCTTCCTATTAGTAGGAGGCTGTGCCTTCAGCATTTAAACTCATAACCTAAACCATGGACACTGACATCAAGCCATTTCACTAATTTCACTCAGCTGTCCCCTTCAGGCCAAAATCAGCAATCATACTTTGGCATGTGATCTCTATCTACTCTTCTGGCACAGAACAGGAAGAATTTATTGTGAGTTGATACAGGCTTAGAAAGTTTTAATCTTACTACCATGTCAACCGTGTCTTTTTGCTTCTGGTTTCAGTCAAAAAGCCAAATCCATAGCTGACAATTTCTTCATTGTAAACAAACTGTGTTTCTGAGTACATCTGCTATGTAAATAACAGACATCAGAACTGCTGTCATATCCAGAACCATTTAATTAGCAGCTTTTTTCCCATGTCAGAAGCTAAGTAGTCCAAAACATATATTCACTGCCTTGAAAATTAGGACCTTTGTGCTAGTGATGACATTTGTGATTCTGCTCATATCCAATAAACAATGGAGCTTATAGGCAAACTTCTCTTAAAAGTAATTTTTCCTTCCCTGAGGCAGTGAGTATGGGGCACATGAAACAAAAAATGCAGCTGATTTCTAGGAGACTTGAGTCAGTACTAGGCATCTTGAATCTGAACACTGTCTTAGAGAGTTTTGGAGTGGACAAACTGTAATTGAGCTCTCTGAACTCTCTTACACTGACTTTAATCAGTTCTGGGAATTACTCATTCCTGCCTTTGATCGCTTATTCATTCAAAAATTTTAAAAAGTTGTTCTGATTTAAGGAGCCTGCCAAGTCACTCATATTGGTTCATTTATTCTTTTATTTGTGCTTAATACTGGAAAATCAGACCCTGACTATAGACATTATTTCTTCTGAATTTGTATATATCATATAACTTCTCCTTAGCTTATTTTTAGCAGTCTCGACCTTCACATTTGTCACAGTGATAAATATGCATGTATCTCTTAGATTTTTCTTTATTTTTAAGAATTTTCCTATCACTGATACTGTCTTTTCAGTCCAATTTCTACAGTTACTAAATAGTAATTTTCCTGCAGTAATAAATACTGGAAGCATTCAGTAAGATGTACATATCCATATACTACAATACTGCACAGATAGGTTCTATTTGTTAAATATGGCTCTACTGAATTCTACTTTTTGTTACTGAATTATGTTGGCAAAAGCAAGTTAACTTATTAGTTTATTTTATGGCTGATGGTCGACAGCATACTGTGTGTGCCACTGAACCATTTCATCTGCCGTTATTCATTCAGAGAATACAGAAATAATGAGCCTTTACTCCTCCAGTTCCTCACAGCAGATTCAACACTTGCAGATTCTTGGATCACTGTCATGCATACACCAAATACTGTACTTGGGCTGAGTACCAAGATGTGGACACTAAGCCAGTTCTCATTTCAAATAACTTCCAGTTTTATTCTATGGAGTTATGTCAATTATATGCCAGTACAGGATTTGGTCCAGATGATCTGTTCCAGATACTGATTAAACACATATGTCAGAATCAAAATAACAGTATTAGTCAAAATAGCAACATTCGATTGAAGAAATAATTTTATAGATCTTTGCTCTTGGCACCTGCTCATGACTTTTGGACACTTTCCATTCTAAATTTTGTATCTATTAACCCTGCCTTTTTCAGGTTAGCCCTCCATCTTAGCCTTTAAACTGGAATTTAGGACAAATACTCCAAGTTACCAAGAAGTCTCATGTTTTGGATAAGATACCAGCAGCTGCAGTCCTGCAAACCACCCTGCTCCAAGCACAGCAAAAATGCTGTAGGTGCAGCTGAAATGCAAAATCAGATACCACATGTAAGGTACCAAAAGTCAGCCCAGTGACAGAAACAGAAGAGGTATCTTCACATCCTAGATCTCAGGTCTTTCTGATGCAGAATGCTAATCTAAAAAGATAACATTCCATTTTTTATCTTGAAAGATTGTATTGATTAAACTTTGTGGAA